TCTCTCTCTCTCTCTCTCTCTCTCTCTCTCTCTCTCTCTCTCTCTCTCGAACAACTACTAAAACATACGTCCTGGGAACTGAATCCTTTTCAGTTCGATTTTGGTTACAAAAGCAAACCTAGTCTAAGAATTCCGGGAAAATGGCTTCATGTAAAAATTAGTAGGTATCCGAAGGCAGGAGAGCTGGAGAGCAAAGGTCATGGACTTGACCACCAGAGAGGTAAGGTGAGCGTGGCGACCAAAGTGCACCACACCAAGGCAGTGGGTTATCATGGGGAGCTATGTCCATGGGGAGCTATGATGCGTGGACCTCAAAAGTCCTCTAAAAGTCTCCTGCTTTTGGAAGGTGATGGGACTTCACAGGCGCAATCCTGGCTGTGGACTAGTTCACTGCTGAGCGCCCTGCCCGACCCAGCCACTTGCTGCAGAAGGAGGGGCCTGCTTGGAGGTGGTCACGGGGGCGTGGCCTGGAAGGACAAGTTCTTACCCCGTTTCTCCCTTTTTCCTCTGCTCCGAACCGCCGTGAATTGAACACCTTTCCTTCCTTATGCCCTTCTGCTGCCGCGTTTTGACTCGGAGCCAACAGACCATGGACTGAAACCATGAAAGCCAAAATAAACACCTCCTCCTTTAAGATGAAGGTGTCAGGTGTTTTGTTCCAGTGACACCCCCCAGCGCTGTGCTCGAAAGTGGCTAGGAAAGTGGCTAACATAGGCAACTTCAAATAGTTTCTCTGGAAGAGTTTCCATCAACTTATTTACTCCAACACAGTAAAGGTGGGTCTCAAATGCTCTTAGGAAACCTCTCTGGATTTCATCCAAGTTTGTCATTGGCCAAATGGAATCTAGACTCACAGGTGGAAGGGTCCAGGGACTAAGTTGCTCCCTGGGTTACCACAAGGAGGAGACTTTTCACGGGTTACAGTGATGCTTCCTTTCATCCAACTCCTTTCAGGGAATGGAGGTTGCACCCCGGGTGCAGGGCTCTGAGAATACTGGAACCCTACTCGTTCATTCATGGCTTCTTCATAAAGAGAGATTCCTTGTCCAAACTAAGATGGAAGGCTACAGAACCCCCCTCCCATCAATTGCCTAGCACCTTGGCCGAGGTGCCCTCAGAGAGAAGCACAACTCTGTTTCCATCCAAAACTCAGGCTCAGAAATTTGCCAAGGGGAAGATGTAAGCTACTAACCACAGACCTTTCAATCTGCTCCCAAAGGAATGGACTTCACTTGCAATAGAGTATTAGAAACTGAGCTTTAGGATACTCTCAAAGGCAGCATAAGCAATTAACAGCAGATGGGTACATTCATTAAAAGCATGTAAGATGTGATCAGGAAAATATAATGAATTTTTAAATTTTTAAAATTTATTACAGTAAAAGACACATTGCTTTTAATCTCCTTCAGAATCCTCCTCCTCACTTGAAACACATTTATTCCATCATTCTTGCCCCTTTCTGAAGCAGCTCTGGAAGTCCTCTTAACTGAGTGTCTTTAGTTTTGTTGTCTTGGTTGCCTTAATGTTGACCTTTCCTGCTCGTTTTGAGTTTGGAAAGAGCCAGAAGTCACAAGGTTCTAGACCCTGTCAATAAGGTAGACAAGGACCCCATAATATATTTATAAGCCCACCTTTCCACTGGATGGCACTCAGCAGCAGCATTCACCATAATTTTCACATCTTTCAAAGATACCTCATATACTGACCAATAAGCCAATTCATTTATCATGAAGAATCAAAATAAGAGGCTACTTTGAAAACCCCTCCTCCTGGCATCAAAACAGGTCTGAAACACTGACTTAAACATTGCTGCTCAAAAAGAGCCCAAGTTGGTTGGCTCTGCCTGTAAAGCAAATTGGTTTTTTAGATTCCACATATGTGTGAGATCACATGGTAGCTTTTCTTTCTGTTTTGGCTTTTGTCACTTAACTTTATGTGCTCCAGTTCCATCCACATTTCTGCAAACAAGATAAGTTTATCCTTTTCACAGCAGATTTGTACTTGACTGTGTATGTGGAACACACTTGCTTTATGTATTTATCAGATGATGATGACAGGTTTTTTTCATTTCCTGGCTACTGTGAGTGGTGCTACAGGAAGCACGGAAGTGCAGATGTTTCTTCAGCACACAGATAACATTTTCTTTGGATGTGTACCCAGGAGTAGGGTTTTGGGACCATGTGGTGAGTCTATTTTTAATTTTTTGAGGAATCTCCATACAGTTTTCCATAATGAATGCATTAATGTACATTCCCCCACAGTACATAAGGGTTCCCTTTTCTCCACATCCTCACTCCCACTTGCTTTCTTCTTCCTTTTTCAGAATTGCTATTCCAGGTGGGATGGGGTAAGATCTCATTTTGATTTTGATTTTGATTTTGATTTTGCTGGTGATTAGGGATATTAAACATTTTTTATACACCTACTTACTATTTGTATATTTTCTTTTTAACAATCTCTATTCATGCCTAATGCTCCTTTTAAAAACTGGATTATTTGGGTTTTTTATTTTAAAAAGAAGAAAATAAAATTTCAAAACAAGATAATAGGAGGATAACAATGGTTAATATACTGTGTATTGTTATCTTTAAACTAGTTACTCAGAGTACAAGATATAGGCATTAAATTGTCCAAACAATATTAGCACAAACCTTTCTTTTCAATGAAAGGGAAATTAATAGTGTAACTATCTTAACTGTCTTTTATACATATACTACTTTCTTTTTGCTTTTCCCTTCCTTCTTTTCTCCATTCCCCCATCCCAGTTTTTCTACCCTTTCGAAATTTCTTCCCAATATCTATTGTACATTTTGAACTTTATTTACTCTTTCAGCTTCTCAAAGTAGGGAGGCAACATGATACTTATACATGTGCATCTGGTATATTTCACTTATAAAGATGGTCTAGAGTTGCAACCATTCACCTATAAAAGTCTCCAGGTTAGCCTTCTTTATGGCTGAGTAGTACTCTACTGTATAAAAAGACCACATCTTTTTTTATCCATTCCTCAGTTGATGGCTATTTGGGTTGTTTCTAAGATCTAGCTATTATAAATTGTGCTGCTATAAACATGGGTACACGTATACTGCTGTGGTACAATGTTTTTAATTTTTCTGGGAAGATACTCAGAATGGAAATAGCTGGGTCAAATGGGAGGTCCAACCTTAGTTTTTTGAGGAATCTCCACACTGATTTCCACAGTGGTTGCACCAGTCTACACTCCCATC